ACAATCGTGGGTCCTGCTGCTGTCTGATGCTGCAGGTATTAAATAGTAGTTCAGCAATAGTTCCAAACAGCTGGAAGAAACAAACTTTGGCTCCTTGTAACATCGTGATGGGAAAAACACTCAGATTACATTCATTATTCATGAGTTTCTTTTATCTTTAAGCTGTTGGTGTCTGTTTTCCATCACAGTAAGGTTTTAATATTATGGACATTTCAGTTTGTTCATAGATTTACATTTTTAGGGCAAAGTGCGTGAAAACAGTGTGCTGTGATTTTAGCACACAAACGGTGCATTACGCCTCTCTGTGATGTTTTCAGATGAATATTGATGCTGAAGTGTGGAGAAGTCCTTCACTTAGTCACTTCACACAGCTCAAACTGCTGGTGTTGTCTATCTGTTAACATGGTACAACTTTTACAGAAATGTGACTAAGATGAGTATTTAGACATGAAGCCAACACGTTAAACTGCAGTCAGAATAAAGGAATGAAGCGCTGTCTGAAGGAGGCTTAGAGTTGCTTTTGGGTGCAATGAGTAAAGGGTCTGGGTATGACTTCAGAACCTAACAACAGCTACGCCAGGAGTTTGCACTTCATTCTCGAGATACCAGTAAGCAATCTTAGCAGTTGATCCCCATTAAGGGAGTGGGAAATCCCAGCAAGTCTGCCTTTATTCCCCATTCATTTCTGATGTTCAGTCACCTTTTTATGTAATAAAAATCTAAGAGTTGCATACATAACAGTCTAAGTGAGCCTGTTTTGGATGTCTGAATTGCTACCTACTTCATTTGATTAGAATTCAAATAGTTCTGGGGCCAATGACCACTGAAGAAACAATTCAACAACAACAGAGTCTTCAAAAGTGCTAACAGAAAGACAGTGGGGTCATTTAGATTTTTTTTAGGTAAGTCATGTTAAATCTGGGGTCCTAGGTAGCATTAGTTTTTTAGTGTAAAAATCCTAAAGAGGTTGGGGTCATGTCGATATTGGCATTGTTTTCTTCACGCCAATATGTGGAGCAATTTTTTGAAGTGCCATAACTTGAGAAGTAGTGTAGCTAGGGTCCTGAAATTCTGCAGGCTCATTAATATGTATATATGGTCTTTAATGATACAATCCTACTTTGATAGAATAACAGGAACTAATCATAAAATGGTTTAAATTTGGTCAAAAAATGTAAATGATTTTAGATTTAGATTTTAGATTTTTCCCCCTGTGATTTGCATCAATGGGAGCTTCTGGTCCCAGTCAGAGGCATGCTTTATGAGAAAGAAAAAAAAAAAGTTTTTTGCATTTATGGCCAATATTTAAGCATACATTGAGCAAGCGAGGGAGTTTAAGTGTCTCGGGATCTTGTTCACGAGTGATGGGAAAATGAAGCGTGAGATGGACAGGTGGCTCGGTGTGGCGTCAGCAGTAATGCGGCCGCTGTACCGGACCGTCGTGGTGAAGAGAGAGCTGAGCTGCAAGGCGAAGCTCTCGATTTACCAGTCCATCTACGTCCCAACCCTCACCTATGGTCACCAGCTTTGGGTCATGACCAAGAGAAGGAGATCGCGGATACAAGTGGCCGAAATGAGCTTCCTCGCAGGGTGGCTGGGCTCAGCCTTAGAGATAGGGTGAGGAGCTCAGACATCCGGAGGGAGCTCGGAGTAGAGCCGCTGCTCCTTCGCGTCGAAAGGAGTCACTTGAGGTGGTTTGGACATCTGGTTCAGATGCCTCCAGGGAGGCTTCCTCTGGTGGTTGTCCGAACTCGTCCACCTGGGAGGAGACCCCGGGGCAGACCCAGAACCCGCTGAGGGGTTATGTCTCTCGGCTGGCCTGGGAACGCCTCGGGATCCCCCAGGCAGAGCTGGAAAGCGTCGCGGGGGGGAGGGAGGTCTGGGACGACCTGCTCTGCCTACTGCCCGCGACCCGACCCCGGATAAGCGGAAGACAATGGATGGATGGATGGACGTTGAGCAGTTGTGATCCCAACTGGAAGAGATACATATTTTTACTGGACTCAAAGAAAAATCACAGTTTTCCCACTCACAGTGCTTCAGATGTTTCTATGACAATGCTACCACATGTAATATGTCAGAAATATTTACTTTTACTTGTTTTGATTTCTTTATCAAGATCTGTTATAGGGCTGCAAGGTGCCACAGTTGGTAGCACTGTTGCCTCGCGTCCCAGTGGGGGCACTGGGATCTTCCTGCGTGGAGTCTCCATGTTCTCCCCGTGCAGCGTGGGTTCTCTCCGGGTTCTCCGGCTTCCTCCCACAGTCCAGAAACATGCTGAGGTTAATTGGTGATTCTAAATTGTCCGTAGGTGTGAATGTGAGTGTGCTTGGTTGTCTGTCTCTAAGTGTAGCCCTGTGATAGACTGGTTACCTGTCCAGGGTGTCCCCTGCCTTTGCCCTAAGTCAGCTGGGATAGGCTCCAGCCCCCCACGGCCCTGGTGAGGATTAAGCGGTGTATCGATAATAATGGATGGAAGATCTGTTATAATTCATCGTAACCGTAACCTTGTTAGCAAAGACTTAGTCAAATAGAAACACTGTGTTGGGAAAGTTGGTAGCAATAATACATGGTGTACTGATGTCAGCATTACATCCCTGTATTACGATCCAGTCTCTAGGGTCAGCCGGATGTAACAAAAAACAGTTGTTGTTGGTTGGGGTAAAGCAGTTTATTGCCTCGTATCGTAAATGAACATGACAGAACTGTGACAATACAAAGGAAGATGATGGATGTCACTAAAAATCAAAGAACCAAACATAACCAATGAAAGGCTAACATAGCGTCAAAAGCAAGCTAGCAGAAAAACTAAACTAAACTCCTTAACCAAACTTAAATCTGATGGCAACACCCACACATAACAAAAGAAACTAAAACAAACGGGTGCCTCAAAACAAACTGTACTAAAAGCACAAGACACAACTAACTTCTTTATGAAGTTGGGCAGCTGCTGACAGGAGTCATAGTCTTCACCAAGACTCTTGTGAACTCCCACACTGAGTTAGCAGCTGCCAACAGAAGTTACAGTTCAACAAACCCAAAAGACACAGACCTGGAGGCACCAGGGCAGACTGTTCACACTAAATCCCAGCCAGTCCTGACTGAGAGGTTGCTGGTTGATTTTATAGCCAGGTGTGGTGATTGCTGGGGTGTTAGAACATTCTGTTGGTGATAAACTTTCTGTTGGTGATAAACTTAGTTGTGATGAATCTTGCACAACCTAGATTATACCAAATTGAAACAGTGAGAACCAACCGTTTACAACGAAGACACAACTTGAGCATTGTCTGTTACACATGTGTACAGTACGATGTAAATTGTGAGCCACTATTTCATTCACAGTGAATGTTGTACCAAGGAGCATTTCACTTGATATTGCAGCATAAAATAAATCTAATTAAACATGGACATGATTGCTTCTGGTAGCACGATTCATAAAATTATTTGAAGCAGTGAAAACCTGAATTTTCCTTCAGCATTATATAACTCTTCCAGTTGGGCCCACTATTGGAGAGGGTTCACCATGATACCGGCTGATGATGGTCCTAATATTTGACGTGAATGCAGACAACATAGTTTCAATATTTTTTTTTCTCATAAAATATGTCTGTGACTGGCACCATACTTTACCCAAACATTGTTTCCTATGACCCCAGATTTTACACATGGTCAACTTAATCAATATTCACCACAAAAAGTCAGTCAAACTGAAGATGGTCAGGCATGGGGCATTCGGTGAATTGAGGCGAAACGACTCTGTGAAACGAATGGTTGAAATGGACACAGCTATGTGGACCCTTTAACTGGACTTACAGAAATAAGTTGAATAAAAAAATAAATTGGCATCTTCCTTTGAAGTGAAAAAATGCTCTTAGGACTTGCTCTTACAGTTCCCATGTAGATAGGGAATTGTGCTGAACTGGACTAATGCATTACTTACAACTGACTGGTTGAACTAAACCTAAAATCTTGCAAAGTAACCTAAAGAGTAACTGAACACCAAGCTGTAAGACTGTGTTTTTGTGTTTTACGTATATTTATTTTAAAGGGGAACTATGCTTTGCTTATGTGTTATACAGTGTATCGTATAATTAAAGTTAACATAGCAGTATAAAAACAGACGCTATTTTTTTATCTATGAATTTCTATAGTCAAAGACACATATGAAATGGACATGACTTCACATGTCCCTGATACTATCTAAAATTGTATTAGACAAACTGGCTAGGCATGGTTTCTGCCAAGAACAAGTCATTTCTACCAAACAAGGATTTTCGCTAATTCCAAGGTAAAGTCCACCATCTTGGAATTTCTACACCCTTTTTTGCCACAGTAATGCATTATTTCTAGCATGGCAAATAGCGATATACCCAAATAATATTTTTAATTTTAAACCTTGGCATATGGCAGGCTCTCTTAAATTATTCAAAAAGAAGAATTTGTAAACTTTGTGTAAATATCTGGCTTTGCTAAGTTTAGCAAAACTGTCTGATGTTATCATATTGTCATAAAATGAAAAATACTCTAAAAAGTCCTTATTTGGTCATCTCATCTTATCATGTGCTTTTCCGTGAAATGTTTTTTATTGGACATCATCTTATATATATCTTGTAGGGTTTTAATAGAAAAGATTTTGGTGTCACTAAAGGTTGTCCAAATTATCTTTGATATTACACATATGTACTAAGGACATTGTATGTGAATTTTCTGTGATTTATCTGCCTACATGTTTCCAGAGTATATAAGTTTCATATTACACAAATTTGCACAGGATCTTGTATTATACGTATTCAGGTTGACGCCACGCATGCTACGTACAAGTTTCAGATAAAAGATATAGAAACATAGTAAAATGTATCCCTGCCTTTGCTGTTAGTAGCAGTGAGAAAATATTTTCTCCAGATTGTGTTGTACAATGATTTCTACATCTTTTTCTTTTCGTGTGTGTGTGTGTGTGTGTGTGTGTGTGTGTGTGTATGGTGGTGTTGGGGTGTCCTTAGGGTTGTTTCCATAGTGACCAGCCTGGTGACTGCCACCATAGAGGCTACAGTGCAAACCACAGGAAACCTGTCAACATTCAAAGACCAAAGAGGCAGCGAGTTCAGTCCAGTCCATCAGGCATCCACCCCATCGGTGCTGAGCGCTGCTGAGAGTAACTCTGTTCTGCAGGGAATCACAGTGGCAACTCAGGCACTGGTACTCCTCTCAATCTTCCTCCTGTCCAGTCTTGGCAACTTGGCAGTTGTCATTGTTATCATCAAACACAGACAGCTCAGAACAGTAACCAATGCCTTCATCATGTCGCTGTCGCTGTCAGACTTCCTCACTGCTGTTTTATGCCTGCCATTCTCCTTTGCCATGCTCTTCAGTAAGGACGGCATCTGGATATTCGGGGATCATTTCTGTGTTGCCAATGGTTTTTTCAACACATGCTTTGGTATTATTTCCATCCTGACTATGACTTTGATCTCCTTTGACAGGTACTATGCTATAGTCAGACAGCCGCAGGCTAAAATAGGGCGTCAGAAAGCAACTCAGTTGTTGATAGCTGTTTGGTTAATTGCAGTCATTTTCTCACTTCCTTGGTATCTGTTAGTCCGAACACCTACAGAATTCCACAAGCGAGGTTTCTACCACTGCATGTATGCATTCCACTCTGGTACCTCACGCATGGGAGCAGCTTACAGCGTCTGCCTTATTGTTGTGTGCTATTTACTGCCCTTTTCCCTGATGTGTTTTTGTCATTACAACATCTGTAAGACTGTTCGGCTCTCTGAAATACGAGTCAGGCCGGTGACCACATATGCATACTTGCTTCGATTTTACAGTGAAATGCGAACAGCTACCACAGTTCTAATAATGATTGTTTTCATCATTTTTTGCTGGGGGCCGTATTGTTTAATGGGGTTGGTTACAGCAATAGGGGACTACACATTCAACCCTGCAATGGACACTGTGGCCATCTGGCTAGCCTGGGCAAACGGAGCTATCAACCCTCTGATCTATGCTCTGAGGAACCCCAATATAGCCATGTTATTGGGGCGCAGCAGGGAGGAAGGCTATCGGACCAGAAATATTGCTGCATACCTCTCCAGTCAAACTCAGAACCGTGAGATTTGCCTTAACCAAGCAGAGAGGATAAGGGACCGCTATGTGAGTCGAGTTGGGGTGAATAATAATAGCCGTCTTTCAAGTTCAAGTTCTGGAAAAGCAGGGGGGGGAGGAGAGGTGGCAATGTGGGCTTGTAAAAACCCTGCTGTGTTCTTCTGCAGGGACGCCCAGCATGACAATGTAACACTACCCAACTCTGTCTGTGCTTCAAAGATGAGGACAGCTGACACCAGCCTGTGAGATTCTATATTCTTAACCAAATGATTGTTTTTGTCTCATCTGTAGTTTGTGGTGTGACTATAGATAGTGGAAGTACCTAGTCGTGCTTATGTCTCCTTACTTCATCAGATTGTTTATGATAGCAGATTTTACTTAAAGAATCAGGCAGATCCTTTGAGTTGTTAACAGTAATTCATATTAAATTGCAGCACTATTTAGATATATGGGAAGGCAAAAGTTATCACAATGAAAATTTGATTGAAGTACCATTGTACAGCAGTAACCCCTTTTCCACCAAGAAGCACCAGGTGCTACTTCCATGCTGGTGCTAGGGCCAGTGCTTAGTTGGTTCCAGTCTAAGAACCGATTGCTTTTCCATCGGCAAGGAGCAAAGTTAGAGCCACGCCATACGTCACTGCCTACGTAGCCGTTTCCCAAACAATGCTCGCGCCAAGTCCACACAAGACTCCAGACTGACTTTTTTTACCAGTGTGACCAACTTTCTCATTTGTTTGCACTTCTCACCTTGTCACAGGCAAAACATATGACTTGCTGAACATTTTCTTTTCAATAGACTCTGGCCGTGGTGCTCAGACCGGTGTGCGACCAAATATGACTTTAAAAAGAGTAAACAAGGCATTCAAATGCCAGATTTGTCCATGATGCAACCAAATTATTTTTTTCTCACGCGGTCTTTTCTATGAGCGGAATAAACAGTGCACGTAGGTGTGCTCCATTTTTCATGAGAAGACCACCACCAGTGTGGTGCTGCTGGTGGGACACAATTCTATCTGTTTTCAGGGTGCAACATCCATCCATCCATTATCTATACACCGCTTAATCCTCATGAGGGTCACGGGGGGCTGCAGCCTATTCCAGCTGACTCAGGGTGAAGGCAGGTTCACCTGGACAGGTAACCAGTCTATCACAGGGCTACACTTAGAGACAGACAACCAAGCACACTCACATTCACACCTACGGACAATTTACAATCACCAATTAACCTCAGCATGTTTCTGGACTGTGGGAGGAAGCCGGTGAACCCGGAGAGAACCCACGCTGCACGGGGAGAACATGGAGACTCCACGCAGAAAGATCCCGGTGCCCCCACTGGGACGCCAACCGGCGACCTTCTTGCTGCGAGGCAACAGTGCCAAACCAACTGCGCCACCCTGCAGCCCCAGGGCACAACAGTTTGTGCAAAACTTCTGTGTGTCCGTGGACTAATTCCAATACATTTGTGATCGGACCACAGATGTCCTGGTGAAAAATGACACAAATCACGCTTCTGTGTCCCATTCATTCATCGGTCTTGGTGGTCGCGATAACCCCGCCCCCAGCCCCTGACGTACTCAGTACTTAGCTCTGGCCCAGCAAAGAGTTGGTGCTTGCTAAGCACCAGTTTTGAGAGCCTGGAGCCGGTGCTTAGGTGGTGGAAACACAAAGAACTGGTGCTAAGTCAGGCACTAGTACGAAACTAACACTGGAACTTGTTTGGTGGAAAAGGGGTAAGTTACAGACAGGTAAATTAAATTTGTTACTGATGTTAGAAGACACTATATCTCTCAAGCCATGGGACAACTTGAAGGACCCCCAGAACCCCCTCAGTAAAAGCATGAACAGTGTGCAAAGAGTTTTTCTTGTGCTAGAAGGTCTTCTCATCAGATATCATTTTGTAAAAAATGCAGCATATATGGAGAACTAATAAAAGGATATTTCCTTACTCCTTTATGTGCCATTCTTAAAACATACATGTAAAGTCAATGTCATTTTCACAGTCTTTGCTAGAGAAGTGCATCTACTGGTACAATGCTTCAGATGACCTAATGTTACATTTTGCCATCCTAATATTACTCTAGTCATTATTCTAATGTAGTCATGAGAATAATGACTTGCTATCTATACTGATGACTTCTCAAGTGAGACTCATGATGTCAGAAAACAAAGGAAAACAAAAAGAAGATGGAACCTCTGATGATGTAATTTAGACCAGGAAGTTGCACAGAGACCATCCATGTTGCAAAAAAGATGATGCTGTAAGCTTGGTAACTGTTTGCAGGGATGGCTGTCAAACTACTGCACCTGGGAAGCTAACCACTAGCCAGCAGGAAACATGCTAACAACACCCAGTTACAATAGCTCTCCAGACAACCATCTTAGCCACAAAGCCTTGAGAATGAACACAGTTTCATCAAAAGATAGATTTGTACCGTTGTTTATTGTCTAATAATTATCTCCAAACTGCCTGTTTTGTGAGGCAGTTTACACTCTTGTACGACATAGTAGGCATTGTCTTCCTATTTATTGTAAACTAGCAGTTCTTCAATGTAAAAGCTCGCAACTGTCAATGCAGTGGTGGTTTCTTTTGACCATGACCACAGAAGAGAACTGTTCAGTGAAAATAAGTTAAATGCAGCAAAGAGACATGAAACATTTTCATGCATTTCCACATGCTTCATGAAATCTTGAAAAATGTCAACAATTTCCCTGAGGTTCTACCAATGGGATCAATAAAGTTCTATCTATCTATCTATCTATCTATCTATCTATCTATCTATCTATCTATCTATCTATCTATCCATCCATCCATCCATCCATCCATCCATCCATCTATCTATCTATCTATCTATCTATCTATCTATCCATCCATCCATCCATCCATCCATCCATCCATCTATCTATCTATCTATCTATCTATCTATCTATCCATC